AGGTAGAAAGGTTACCATAGTCAACTTTGCACAGTATCAGATTGGCCAAGGTCAGGAGCATGCAGTGGCTCATCTATCATGTAGCACTCCCAGTCAATGTCTGGCTGTTCGATAAGCGAAGCAGGCTCAATAGGAATGAGTCAGATCACGACTGTGTTATGTGTATGAGAGGCGTTCAGGAAACTCTGATCCATTGCTTGCTCCATTGGCCGGAAGCAGAATATCTCTGGTCCATAGCTCGTTCATTGTGGACACATACTACAGAGGTCCCCTTCCCACGAAACAGGAAACTAATATTGATAGGAAGTGAGGTGCCTAAGGAATGGCGGGCAGGCCATAAATATATCTTTCAGCTTCTGAGACAGTACACTTTATGGACAATATGGAAATGAAGATGTCGGCAGGTGGTGTGTAAGTTTCTGATGACTAGAGTGGAAGCCAAGGCAATTCTCTATAGCCAGTTGGAGGCAGAGATTAGGGCGTTATGGAGAAGGACAAAAGCAAGTGGCTCTTAACCCTGAAAGGGCAAAGGATATTTTATTCAAATTCCAGAAAAAGGTACTAGCCCGAGGCAAAGTCGCGGCCATAGAAGGAGAGAGAATTATCTTCCATTGGTTCAAAGATGAGCGACAGGAGGACACTATTTGACACAGGAACTTAGGATGCCATAAGAAATAAAGTGGGGCAAGGCAAAGAAGGATAAGTGAAGGGGGTTGTAGGGTTCAAGGAATATAGGATACGGATAGTAAGATAGGAACTGGGATTAAATGTTTTGGCAAACTGAGATAGTACAGGTTAACTTAGGCAGGGGTGAGGGGTGGTAAAACCTTCCTCAGGGAAGTATTCAATGTCGTCCACTCGGGCCTCCCAGCCATAATGGGGGGGAGCGTGCGTGTGTTTCCTATGTATCTACTATTGACTTGCCGGGGGAAAGGAACCGGACTGTTGCTCCCCAGAATGGTAGGAGCCAGAACCAGGAGGTTCTGTTTTATTTTTATTTTTATTTATAAAAAAAAAGGAAAGAAAAGAAAGAAATTCAAGTAATTGGGCAGGAATTATTGGACTTTTTGCAAAGTGTAAAACTCAGGGATAACAACAAAATGGAAGACTTGGAAGTTGGAACGTGTCTGCCAAAGACCAAATCGCTAAAAGCAAAGCTAAAGAACTGTGAAAATAATCAAATATAAATTTATAAAACTAGTATGAAGCTACTCTGCCATGAAGCTATTTCCACCATTAATCCAGTCTATTCCTTCCATATTGTGCTTGTCGTGAGAGGCCAAAGGATAAGATAGAACTAAACAAACTTGTGACTTTGTTTGCCTGACCAGACTCTTGCATCTTACATACTCGTAGCTGCGAGTTTGGCACTTCACGAGTCACCACAACGGAGCGAGATGATAAAAGAACTGTTTCCAGTCATTCTTCCATACATGAGCAGCCATCATCATAACCTTCGCAATTTCTCTCAGGTGTGTATACTTTCCATGTCTTTGCGTCAACTACCTCTAGTTCACTGTTTCCAGTCATTTCTTCCAAACATGATCATTGATCAGCCATCATCATAACCTTTGCAATTTCTCTCATGTGTGTATAGGTTCCATCCTGGCAGGTTCTTTGCATGCATTACCTACCTCTAGTTCCTTTCTTCTGGATTGATTCTTTACATATCAAAAATTATTTGGGAAATTTCCAAAGTTTTGTGCTGTTTTCGTTTCCGAAGGGTTTGTTTCAATTTTTGAACAGTGAAACATGATTGCTTTCTTCTGTATGCACACTGCTCACCAGTGCTATTTAACTTTTTAGTCTTTATATTATTTTTTAAGTTATTTAAACTTGTTTTCTAGTATTCATTTATCAAGGATACATTTCCAGGTGTGCAGGCTGCCTCTGCTTGCCTGAAATACCCGGCCAGGCAACAGGTTCTGGGCAGCCCCAGAGGAAAAAAAAAAAAAAAAAATCTCGGAGAAAATGTGTTGTGTAGAATTGCAATACAAACTATGTTTGGTTGAGGGTCATCTCACGAAAAAAAGAAAAAACGGAAAAAAAAGGGGAAGGGAACCTACTACCTAGACAGCAAAGAAATCACATACATAAGGACCAATTGTCAACATATCTCAGCATCACGAATAAGATGACTTCCTTTTATCTGGAACACTCATAGGAGCTATCTACAGTGCAGAAATAATAAAAACTCCCCACTTTTAAAAAAACAACAACAAAAAAAAAGGTCCTTATGGGTTATGGCCCTGGCTCCGTATCCATGCTGTCGAGCATCAGTCCGGTTCCTAATGCACCGCCAACTTCGTCAAGTCAAAATTACAGTATGATAAAAACACCCTCACGCTTTCTTCCGTCTGACTGAAGGAGCCCTGAACGGCATTGATTGCTCCAGCAGTGTGGAGGACTGACTGTCAGCTTGCCTTACCCCTACCTTTCCTCTCAGGTCCCACTGTCTGAAGCAAGAAATGTGAAACGGTATTCACCTGTTAGCAGTAGCGAATGCAGATCCCAGTGCTCGATCCCTAGTCCTTACCTCACCTGTGTACAGTACCTGTGTCGACCCCGAGAGTTGAACCCGTGACCTGTGTATTCGCAACAGTGGTAGGCTGTCGTAGGTCCGTAGGTTGTAGGGGTTCGATCTGTAGACCTGTCGGGTAGAGGTCGTAGCGAGTCATAGCTGTAGCTCTTCTGAAAGGTCAAGTTCGTAGCTGCTACAGTCCTGAAAGGTCAAGGTCATAGCTGCTACAATGTCGAAGGGCCAAGTCCCCAGACTTCCGGAAGGTCCGGAAGTGGCCCTTCCAACGTTGCTCACAACAGACTAGAGGCAAGTGGGCAAGTGGTGAAGTCCACCCTTGCTGAGCCAGCGGTACCCAGGCCCAGTCGCACTTAGTCCAGTCAGCAAGTATCACATGGGACTGTGTGCACCAGGGGCCCGGTGGAAAAGGGGCAGACCAGCAGCGAACAGAAGTATAAATTAAGAGGCAGCGCCCAGCCATTCATTCGTTCCTGCTTAAGCCATGCGGAAGCGCTGCCTGAGCGACTTGTGCGAGGTGGTCCGCGGAGTGCCCGAAGACGAAGTGGGCTGAGGGAGATAGTTAGACATAGCTAGGAGAGGGACGGTGGCCATAGCCGCCATAGCTGATAGGTGAGAGTATGAGTACGGGAGTGTGAGTATGCGTGTGGGATATCCAGGGTGATCCAGAGTGAGTAAGTACGAACAGTGGTGTTGGACAGAGTGGTGAGAGTTGGGTTGTACAGGCGCTGATACGCCATAGCCTGTTGAAGCGAGCTTGTATCTGAACTGTGTTTTCGACTTCCATATCTTTGAGCTTGAGTGGGCACTGTGCGCCAGTGTGGTTCACCATCTGTTTGCATGAGTGCGGAGAGGAGAAGAAAGCGAGTCTGATTGCATTGGTATCGAAGCAGGTACCCGCTATCTCACGCCCCGTCGTCGTCCACGGTATGCTGAAGTTGGGCGCCATAGTTGGAGTGCGCCATAGCTGAAGTTGCCATCACCGAAGAATAGTCCGCCATAGCTGCGCTGGTGGAGGAAGGTGTTGCGTACCTGCAAGGAAGACAACGACGAAGAGAGAGAGAGAGAGAGAGAGAGAGAGAGAGAGAGAGAGAGAGAGAGAGAGAGAGAGAGAGAGAGAAAGAGAGAGAGAGAGAGAGAGAGGAGCGATACAAGATTGGTTGTGCGGTCCAAGGAGGAAGAAGGCGGCCATAGCCGCAGAGCTCGGACACGGAGAAGAAGAAAGAAGACGAGTAGATGAAGGAGAAAGGAGGGAGAGACCGAGAAGTGAGAAGAAGTCATAGTTGAGGAAGAGGAAGGAGGGACGACGAAGAGGAAGGAAGGCATAGCCAGGGTAAGGAGAGAAAGAAGCGAGGAAGAAGGAAGGGGAAGGAGAAGTGAGGGTGCACGGGGGAGAAGGTGTCGGCAGCCATAGCCGAGTTGGAGGTTGGACGAGGTGGTGACCAAGGGGTTGACCGAAGTTGGTTTGTGCGTTGAGGGCTGTTGACCACGATTTTGACCAAGTTGGAGCTGGTATATTCTCGCCAAGCCCTCAGCCTATCCCCTCGCCCTATGGATGTGCACTCACCATATGGTACTTGCTGAGTCTGTCCGTCTCTTCTTTCTGCATTGAGTCTCTTCTGTCCAGGTCCTAGGAACTCAGTGTATGAGGGATAGGGCCTCGTTGACCAAACCCACATGGGCTGAATAGGGCTAAAGGCCGTGTCTGACGACTCGACTCCCGGAGGACACGAACCCTCCCAAGGACCGATACTGACCAGCGGGCTGCTCGGTGTGGCACGGTAGGCCCAAAATCCGAGCTGTGGGCTGCACAACAGGCTGTCTAAGTCTTGAGAGGACTTGCTGATCGCGTCGTCCTGTCTACGACGTTAAATAATTCCTGAGGAGTTACGGGGGATCTGTTTAAATGCCTCCTGATCAGCAACAAGTCTTGTAGTGACAGCCATAGTTTAGGTCTAGGCTAGTGACCCTAGTTGACAGGATTCTACTTGGATTCTGTGGTCCTTAGATTGAGTCTTAGGTTCAGTCAGTCAAGTGCCGAGGTCTAAGTGGTGAGGTCTGGAATTGTTGTTCGGTTGTGCACCTATCACCATAGTTGACACTCGCAGTGGGAAGAGCACCATGCCCTATAGCAAGGCTCAAGAGGAGCAAGTCGCCACCATCCTAAGAGAGAGAAAGGAGAAGCAGGAGCTCCTTACACAGGCGAAGGTGAAGATGATAGCCGAAGAGCAGGCGGCGAAGAAGAAGAAGCTAGAGGAGGAGATGAAGAGATTACAGCAAGAGGAGGAAGAGAGAATGAGAGCTGCAGAAGAGGAAGAGATTGAAGAGGAGCAACAGCCAGAAGAAGAGCCCCTCATAAGGAGGAGCATGGGGGAAAGAGGGCAGAGAGAGAGTGAATCAATCAATCAATCAATCAATCAATCAATCAATCAATCCAACCAATCAAGATCCTACGGAATCGGTTGATTCGGTAGGATCTTGATTGGTTGGATGGATTGATTGATTGATTGATTTGTGTGTGTGTGTGTGTGTGTGTGTGTGTGTGTGTGTGTGTGTGTATGTGTGTGTGTGTGTGTGTGTGTGTGTGTGTGTGAGAGAGAGAGAGAGANTGGCCAGAAAAGGGCCCTGAGGGCCTCGTCGAGCCTGCCTTCACTTAGGGCGGCTGACGGGCTGCAAAAATGGGGCCTTATGGGGCTCATAGAGGCAATGGCCTCGCATTCCCTCCTCCTTAGCTTCAACAGTCCTCTGAGAAGCTCAGTCTTCGATCATAGGGCGCTTTCCCTTCTGCAGAGATCTCTCGTATTGGGTTACAACTTGAGGAGCGGTCTGCATGAGCTCTTCCCTAGTGAAGCAGCGGTCTTCCTTCGGATCAGTGTGATGCCTGAACCGAACGCGGTACTGCAGCTTCGGTTTCGGAGAACGTCCCCTGCCTGCTGGTCTTGATACCGGCAGCTCTCTGTGATCCACAATATCATCGATGTCCACCTCTCCATCCATGGTTGGGGGCAGCATTGAGCGACGAGATGGAAACTGATCAGTATCTTTGAAAGGTGCCAGCTTGGAGGTGTGAAAGACAGGGTAAGTACGGAGATGACCAGGAATCCGGATAACATAAGATGGCCCATCCGGATCCGTCCCGACAATGTCCAAGACTTCCCGAGGTCCAAAGTACTGGGGCATAAGTTTGCGGGAGATCCCGTACTCCTGTCCCAGTTCTGAAGACTTAACCCAGACTCTATCCCGAACCTGAAATGTAGAAGGCCGGCGGTGTCTATTTTCAGACTCTATCATTGCTGCCTGTGCCTTTTCCATCTGCTCTACCGCCTGCTGCATTTTCTGTTCATATCTGTAAGCGAACTCTAAAGTACCTGGTGCAGCAGTTGATTGATTCTCAGGAAGGAGAAAGTCAAGGGGTAGTCTCGGCTTAAACGTCAGTAGTAAACTGTTCGGGCTCACCTCGGTGACGCTGTGTACAGCATTGTTGTACAGGCTGGCGATGAGAGCAAGCTTCTGATCCCAGTCCACTTGGTTGGGCTTAATGTAGTGTCTCAACAGGTGTTGCACAGCGCGATTGAGTTGCTCAGCCTGTCCATTGGCCTCTGGGTGATTCCCAGAAGTCATCTGCAACTGAGTTCCCTGCTCTGCAGCAGCGGCCTTCCACAACTCGTTGGTAAACCGAACATCCCGGTCACTGACAATAGACGTCGGTAACCCAAAGTCTCTAACCCAGTTCTCTTTGAACATCCGGATCGCATACTCTGTCTTTGTTGTTTTCGGCATTGGTACTAACCTAGCATACTTACTTAATCTATCCACGATAACGAAGATGTGACGCATCCCACTCTTGCAGGTGATCAGAGTATCCATAAAATCCATGGACAGACTCTCACCAGGCCGTTCCGGAATCGGAAGGGGCTGCAGAAGCCCAAGAGGAGCCTGAGTATGTGGCTTGTCCCGTTGCTAAACTTGACAAGTCTCCACGTACAGCTGGGCATCTCGCATCATCGTGGGCCACCAGAACCGCTGCAGCAAGTTGGCTGCGGTCTTCTTATACCCAAAATGGCCGGTGGCATCATGGCACTCACCTAAAAACAAACTACGCAAAGACTCGCTACTTGGGACACACAATCGTTTATTCCCGTCCTTCTCAAGGAACAGCAAGCCATTGACCAACTCAAACTCGGCAGAGGTCTTCTTGTCCTTCGCCTTAAGTCTGCGTATGATCTCGGACATGAACTGGTCCTCGCGATAGGCTTCCAGCCAGGAGTGAGTAACATGGTCCGTCAGATTGAACTCAGTAATCAGCGCACCTGAGAAATCAGGTCTACGCGACAAGGCATCCGCAACCTTGTTGTACTCCCCCTTCAGATACTGAGGGTCAAAGTCATACTGCTCAATGACTTCGATCCAACGCTTGAGGGCATCAGAAAGTACAGGCTGGGTTCTCATCCATCTCAGGGTCTGATGATCAGTCCCGAGGATGAAGAATCTCCCAAGGAGATAGTGTCTCCAATGGGTCAGAGCCTTGTAAACCTCATAGAGTTCCTTCTCATAGGTGGACTTAGCCAACTTCTGAGACGGCATTTTCTTGGACATGTACTCTACAGGACTCAACCTTAGCCCCTCCTGCTGCGCGAGAACGGCGCCAATGCCATATTGGCTGGCATCCGTGGTGACTATGAACGGCTTGTCAGGATCAGGAAGTTTCAAGACCTCGTAGTGCGTCAACACATGCTTCAAATGTCTGAAAGCAGCCTCGCACTCGTCTGTCCACTCCCATGGGGTGTCAAGGCGGGTCAGATCAGTCAAAGGTGCGGCCACTATGCTATAGTTCTTAATGAAAGTCCTATAGTAGCCTGTCATTCCTAAGAAAGATCTCATCTCAGTCACACACTGAGGACGTGGCCAATCACGAATGCTGGCCACCTTCGCGTCATCAGGCTTCAACCCTTCCGTGGAGATCTCATGACCCAAGTACAAGACAGGGGTGCGGCCAAACTCGCACTTCTCGACGTTGATCTTGAACTTGTGCTGTCGCAGGAGACTGAGGACTTTGTCCAAATGTGCAACATGCTCCTCGATAGTCTTACTGAAAATAAGTATGTCATCGAGGTACACGATGACAAACTTATCCAAGTAGTCATGGAATATCCGATTCATAGCGTGCTGAAAGGTGCCAGGAGCATTGCAAAGGCCGAAAGGCATCACCACAAACTCGTACAGACCGTACCTGGTCTGAAAGGCGGTTTTGTGTTGATTCTCGGGCTGGATTGCAATCCGATGGTACCCGGACTTCAGATCTATCTTGTTGAAGTACCGGCACCCTTGCACTCTATTTAGCAGATCGTCGATGCGCGATAGGGGCTCTCTGTACCTTACAGTGATGGCATTGAGGCCCCTATAGTCAATGCACATCCTAAGTGTACCCTCCTTCTTCTTAGGTACGAATAGTACTGGAGATCCATAAGGAGAGACACTCGGCCGGATCCAACCCTTATCTACGAGTTCTTTGAGTTGGCGGCGAAGCTCATCAAGCTCGCCTGGAGACATTCGATAGATCCTACCCTTCGGAATACTAGACCCGGGGATAATCTCTATCGCGTGGACGAGCTCCCTATCAACAACCCCTGTTGGCTCTTCAAATAGATCAGGGTACTTAGCGACTACTCCCTCTATCTCCGACGGCATTTTCACCGGCTCGCCTGCAGCAGAAACAGACTAAATACATACCCTCCTCCTGATTTTGCTTATAGCAATTGTAGAACGCGGCCACACACATGCACCCATAGGACTCTATCAGACTACTAGCTTTGAACTTATGTAATCTGGCGGTCCCTCCACCTGGCAAATTGTGTTTGACCACTTTTCAGTCCCAGTCAAACTGGGGCTGTGCCACAGAGAGGTAGTACATACCTAGTAACATATCCATTGGGAGCTTGTCACTCACTAGGAACGAGACACGATGTCTCAAGTCCCCTCCCGCGTATGGGAAACAACACTCAACATCCTAGAGGTAGTCATTGACTACCATGCGCTGTTTGTTGCCACAGGTCGACTCCACAGGTCGACTCAGGCGCTGCACTTGCCTCTGTAAATGCAGCCTCTCAACGCACGCGCGACTGATAAAGTTCCTAGTCGAGCAAGTGTCATAATAGGCCCCGGCCTTGCGGCCACCAATGACAACCTCGCTGACGAACATCTCACCCTTAGGAGCTTTGACTAGAGCCGTCCAAGAAGCTAGCGGGTCTGATCTAGACCATTCCACCTCTAGCTCCTCTAAGGACTCAAACACATTCATCGAACAGAGGCTTGATGGGTCTGAACGTGTTTGCGGGACGACGCTGGAGTCAGTAGCTTGGGCCATCTCTCGAGATAGTGAGGGTGTCTCCACCACCTCGACCCTAGCAGGAACAACTACTATTCCTATTGGCCCAACGTGCTTCCCGGAGCACTGCCAGAAGTACTGGCAACATTGCTACCAACGGGGTGAGAGGATCCCAACACCTGCCCCATCGTAGGCGGGATCTTTTCTGTCACTTTCTTATTGCGGCACTTGAATTGGCTGTGGCCATATTGACCACAACGAATACAGGCCTGCCGTGAGTAACGATCTCTCCACACGTCCTCTGTAAGACCCGCTTTCTCCCATGGAGGAGCATTGGGGTCAACTTGACTCCGAGACCGGGAACCTCCACGACGTCTACCGGTCGCCTTTCCTTTTTGAGCTACGGCAGCGACCACTCCACCCTCTGAAGTTTCTACGCTGCCCGCCTCTGAACCTACTCCCTCCTGGAAGTGTTCATCGACGTCGATAGTGGAACCATCATTATCGACAAACATTAAGCGACCCTTCGCCTTCCAATTAGGAGGCAGTGTCTTTTTCCTCCCATCCGTAGTGGGTGCCTGTCCATGCCCTATCTTAGCCTCTAGGTCTAGGGCCAACTTGCTGAACAAAGGAAAGTTGTGCATATTGATGTTGGCCTCCCTTGCCAACTGGTTCCTGAGAGGCTGAGAAAAGCATCTCAAGTACAAGGTAAGGAGAACCTGGGGGTTGTAGAGCACCCCAGGGACACAGATCAGACGCTCAACAGCGTCGGTGGCTTCCCTTACTGACTTAAACTGCCGTGTGTGCAGTGTCAGGATCGCATCAGTGGCCCTTTGGGCCTCCTGAGAATCATGCCACCTTTCCTCCACCATCTTCAGGAAGTCCTCCAATTTTTGGGAGGCTGCCCAAGCGTGGAAGTCATGACCATACCCCTGAAGCTGCGCTAAACCACTCAACCATCTTGCTCCACTACCCTCTAGGTAGGAAGCAGCCACAAGCACTTCTTCGTGCAGCAAGGTAAGTTTACACCTGACGTAGACTGGCACTGCCCTCAACCACGTGTCGAGGTCTTCGCCTCTCTTATCCCCTGTGAAAGGTTTGGGAGCGGCGATGGTCGTCTTTGGAACCCACTGTCATTGTCCCGGTCCCTGCACCACTCCGGGCTGTGGACCCGGTGATACAGGTTGCTGTGCTAACTGCTGGGGCTGTGTGCCCTGCGGCTGCACAGGCTGCGAGACAGCAGGCTGCGTGGTGACTGCAACCTGTGACGGAGTTTGGATAAACACTGTCTGTACAAGAACCTGCAAACTAGTCCCTGCTGATACCCCTCCTGACAATGGCATGCCCAGGGAAACGATAGCAACCGATGGCGGGGTTATATATGGGGATACCCTTGTCACCGGTGGGACAGAAAAAGGAGGATATGCCACGGGCCAGGCACCAGGCCCGGATGGTGATGGTGCCGCCTGAGAACGCCCTACCAGAATGGCTAGGCTCTGCTGGATATCCTGAAGGATGGTAGTCTGATGCTCCTGCATCTCTATTACTCCTAGCAGGGCCTTCCTAACTACCCTCACATCATCATCCATGTTCGTCAGGTCCATCGTCTTTAACTCCTCTATGTCTGCCCCTCTCCGCTGCATCCTGGCTCTTCTTCTAATCATTTTCTCCTTCTCCGCTTTTATCTCTCCTAATGCCCGCTGTAGTTGTGCCTCCTGCAGGGCTGCCTGCTGGATGGCGACATCCTCTGGGGTCAACACCAATGCCTGGCTTGCCATCGCGCCAGTGGACTGACTCACGGTCTGCGCGACCGTTGACCCGACGATACCTGAACTGCTAGCCTGGGAAGTCTGCTGCGCAGAAGTGACCATAGCTGAAGTGGCCATGGCTGTTGTAGCAGCGGCCTCGCTAGCTAAAGCCCTGCTGGCCTCGGCTGCTCTAGCTCTCCTCTGCTGTTGCTGCCTCTCCCTAAGCTGGCGGAACAGAATCCTATCACCCTCCGGTCCTAGGGACACGTGGGCTATCGAGCGCCTAGCCGATCGCAAGATCCGGTCGTCCTGTGATGTGTCCTCCGTGTCGCTCATATGCTACAGCACTGTGCACCGTCTACACTAGGACATTCAAGATGCCTACCGAAACAGAGTGCACAGACCAATTTAAAATAAATAAATACTGAATTGGTGGCTATTCCGGAGCAGATACATTCGGGTTCTAACAGGTAAGTCCTGATTCCTACAAACGAAACTATTTTTAGTCTGACTAGTCCGCAAACAGAAGCACCAGGAACAATAAACAGTTCTAACTAATGTTGTCTGTCAGATGTCAATGGCTGTACACCTAACTAATCAAAACATAAAAATAGAATCATTTGTGTGGATAGGACAGCATGGAATTTTCTCGAACTTATCACTTGGAATCAACCCTTCCCTTAATTCCCCTGAGTATCACTTGACGTCAGCGTCCCTGAGCAATCTGGAGAGCACTGCGTGTCTAAAGGTGTGTGTCCGGCCCACCCCTGTGCCTCGAGTATCTGCTGAGCTGGCCAGCCTTGCACGTATATTTATCCTCGGCGTGCCGCGAGCCTTACATCACTGGCTGATTAAGAGGCATTTTAACGTCCGCCCCCAAGTGACATCATGAATTATTTTACGTCGCAGCAGGACGACGATCACAGCCAGTGATATCCCCTTCCCGTGTTTATTTATAGACGCTGGGTGCTCGTCTTTCCTGTAGGGCTGGCCTGCCCAGTAGTACCCATCTAACAGCGCAGCAAGCCGAACAAAGGACAAGCAGCAAGGCATGCGTGCTCTACTCCCTATGGGTTGGCATGGTGACCGTGACCCAGTGCTTCGTCCAGGGCCCTTCAGAAAGCTCCGCCCATCTCCACCCAGATGCTCCACGTGAACATTGCCGACTCTCAAGGTTGAGCGCACTCGACTCCTCATGATGAGAGGACTCTCAAGAAGGAACACACAACCTCACGGTAAGAAGTGTTGGAGAGAGAAGATAAGGTTAAGAGCAACGTACCTCAATTAGCTGCCCCCAACCACAGAGATAATCTCACCAGATGACCAGATGGCAATTGCAATGACCAGTCACTGCATCGGCACAACCAGCATTATCCCGCCGTTCCACCTCAGCATCAATTGCACATTAGATAGTTCTCATCACACTGTCCAGACCACATTTCACCCCACGTAGCCTTCCTGGCGATCCCCTCACCTCCTGGGTCGCCTATACACTCGTCTCCACCCTCCTCCCTACACACCACTTACGGCCAAACTCGCCCAGCAGACCGCATGTATGTACCGCATAAGGCAGAAGACAAGCGCCAGATGAGCGCAATCATACCACAACTCCGATACCAAATTGCAAGGAAGATGAGCAATAGCGAACTTCAGCAATCAAACAACATCATACATATGAGTCCAGATAGTCGTGACCTCGAACCAACAACAGAATTGCATCACGAGATTCACCAAATAAGAACACACCAAGAGTTCATAATTGACAATGCTGAAATAGTCCCATCATCATCAACGAAGAACCAGAGTTGATATCCTATCTGGCGCTCGGCGCCCAGACTACATGTGGCAGATCCTATCTAGCCTATACTATGAAGCCGAAAGATGACGTCAACATCATTCCCGAAGTACGAGCATATGGCGACCAGTSTCGCACGCTTCCAGCACCAGGTATGTCTCGCGCTACACTCACAACCTCGTTCCCCAACTCACAGATGCCACTAGCACCCAAGGACCACCCYGCGCCTCACCCARCTTACAGCAGYGCAGCTCGGCTATGGCTGYGTGCTCCTTCCCTGCTCGCCYGTGAGAGCGTAGGYGCCAGCCAGCAAATRGCGCAGCAGCAGCGCTTGCGCAGCATGCAGCCAGCACCCCAATACCGAAYGAGGAGGCAGGCCCTTTYCTATATCGAAGTGGCCTTCCTGCGTCCAGTCCCAGGAAGCTTYCAGTAGGCCCCGGTAGCCTGAGGCCCAGCACGACGAGAGCAGGCCTTGGGCCTGAAGTGGTTGCATGTGCCCAACTGCCTTCGGCCTGTGTTTGGCCCGGTACCCGTATCCAGCCCAGGGCCTGCTTCACATACATTCACACAGGCGGCCCAGGGCCTGGGTTCACTCAACCAACTGGCGCTGCGCAACTGCCTGAATTTCCCTGAGTTGCGTGGTGGCCAGAAAAGGGCCCCGAGGGCCTCGTCGAGCCTGCCTTCACTTAGGGCGGCCGACAGGCTGCAAAAATGGGGCCTTATGGGGTTCATAGAGGCAATGGCCTCACAATTTGGTGTATACAGTACTATACACTGTATACAGTGTATAGTATATGCTGGCTTGTGATTGACTTCGCTATCGAGTGTCGATCTGTGCGTAAATTATCTCTTGCCTGCCTCCTTTTCAATACGTGCAAGTGTGCCCTCTAAGGCAGACGAGTGTGTGGGTACTTCGTGGTTAACCACACGGATATGGCCAACCTTGCACTGATTGTAACCACGAATGGATGTGGAATCATGGATGGATTTGGGGATAATGCCTGGTGTTGTTTACAACACACACGTGCACACAAACCGACAAAGGATAAAATGGGGGGAAAAGGGGTTGCTATGGTGATTGTTTAAACCACCAGTACCTCCGACCCTGTTTTTCCAATGTGCAATTTTGACGGCCCCTAATCCACCTAATCATCGCGGGCAAGGGCGTCGCCAACAATCTTCGCACGGTTGCAGCTGCAATCGTGTTATTATTAACCAGCGCACTCTCGTGGGTAGCCGGGCGGGGTACTCGTGGTTCAAAAGTTAAAACACTCAGGCCAGCAGAATGCTTTGGTCATTGTTTAAAACCAGGGTGGAAAAGGGGTGGTTGTGGTGATTGTTTAAAACATACAGAAAAGCAGAATGTCTTCCCAGATTATAATGGCGTTGTGGCAGGTGTGAATATTGAAGTACTGTACCTGGTGCTCATGAGCAAGCAGCCGCAGCTCCGGCCTGCCCCAGAGAGTCATATGCCCGATGCGGGCTTGAGCATCCATCCATTGCCCTGCATCACCGTGGAGGACAGTTCTCCGCTCTCATCTCCATGGACATGCCTGACATGACTTGCAACTGTCAAGAGCTGCCCAAGTCCTAAGCATTTCTCGTTTGTTGAAGCGTAGCGTGAGGATGTTGCGCAACAGCAGTGCGACAGAGTTTGAGGGGGTTTCATTGTTCTATATTGGAGTGCTTTGAAAGTAGAAAATGTTCCGGCCTCGTCGCGAAAGGAATTAAATAGATAGTAGATACTGCCCAGGATAGAATGTAGCGTTTTTGTTTTCCTTTTTTCTATTTTATGAAAGAACAAAAGAAGGCTGAAGAGAAGAAATCATGAATGGTAGCCCCATTTAGACTTCAACAGCCAGAAGGCAAACAGTTCACGTATTACAGTAGGAATCGTAGTCAACATATTTTCAGCATCAAGGATAGACTACTTCCTCATATCACAAGACATCGTGGGAACAATACACTCGGTTGGAGTAGGGAACTTACCATACTGTTCGTGCCTAGATCATAAACCCATATTTCTTAACTTCATTATGGACAAACATGTTCACAGAGGAAGAAGTTTCTATAAGGGGTTAATAATTCGTTATTAAGAACTAAAGAGTTGAGAGAAGTTATTTTGCAAGTGTGCCTAACACACAATCCGAACACGCAATCATTCACGGACCTTATAGAAGCCTTGTCAACAGCAACGGCAGCAGTAGCCAGACAACTGGCAGCAAGACGGGCGGCAAGGGAAATCGAACTGCAAAGGGAATTGCGTATAGCAGAAAGGAATTTAATCAATAACCCAGGATCGGAGATGTACGAGAGAATAATAGAAGCAGCAAGAAACGAATTGGGTGACTGAGAGAGATGGAGGGCTAGGGGTCTGCAGATGAGAGCGAGAGTGAAAAAATGGGAGGAGGGGGGGAAAATGACAAAGTACTTCTTTCGAAAGATTAAAGCAAGAGGAAGAAACAAGCTAATGGAACAGTTGGAAGGTCCGCAAGGAGTGGTTTCGAATCCGGAAGGGATGCTTTCAGTGGCGTATGACTTCTACAGTGCATTATACACTTCAAGGGAAGGTGACTGTATTTCTCATCAGCTGAAGGAAGTCAGAAATAAGTTTCTAGCAAGCAGAAAAATTGGACGCTCCTTTGTCCATGGAGGAATTAAGGGAAACCCTACACCCTATGCCTCCTAACAAGACGCCGGGTAGGGATGGATTGACTAAAGAATTTTGGGTGGAATATTGGCCTATCCTAGGAGGAGAGTACGAATCTTTTCTCAATCAAGCCTGGCAGAGAGAGGGCTTGGGGTTAGAGTCGACGACAGGCATGGTTACTCTGCAATATAAGAAGGGAAACCCTAAAGGTATAAAAATTTACAGACCAATTACACTGTTGACCCTTACTCACAAGATTGTGGCTAAGGCACTAGCTAACCGCCTCAGGAAAGTTACGGAAGGTTCTTTCCACCTAGATCGAACAGGTTTCATTCCGGGAAGATTTATATTGGATAATGTTATGACTTCATCAGAATCGGTAAGGTACATTACGAATAAGAGGATAAACGCAGCGATCCTCTTCTTCGACATTGAAAAAAGCATATGATCAAGTTAAGTGGAACTTCCTACAGCAATGCATGGAGAAGATTGGAGTGGGCCCTAACTTTCGTAAATGGATTAGTGTACTGTATAATTATGCACACACACACGTCCAAGTTGATTGGCCACCTGTCAGATAGGTATAAAATGACGAGGTCGATGAGGCAAGGAGACCCTTTAGCGGCTCCCATTTTCTTGTTTATAATTGAAGCTATTGCCTCGTTCCTTAGGAAAGACCCTTCAATAGACCGTTTGATTGCTGAATCGGATCAGCAGGGACGTGTCACACATTTGCCAACAACGATATTATTTGCGGACGATCTGACGGTACTAATTAGAGCAACAGACTCTTTATTTCAAGCCCTTACGAGAGCAATGGCGGCATTCCAGACGGCATCGGAGATGAGAATCAACTGGCCGAAGTCGTTGGGGTGGTGGCTATCATATGACGACCAACAGCCACAGTATCAGCCATAGAATTATGGGGGGATGACTTGGTTACCGCCGGATCAGACAATGAGATACTTAGGGATCGAAATGGCGGATACAGGTCCTCACCACTCCATGGCGCCTG